ACACAGAGACAGACTATCAACTGAGTCCACACAGAGACAGACTATCAACTGAGTCCACATACACAGAGACAGATGCAGCCAAATTTAAAAATATAAAAATGATAAAATAAGCGTGATCTTTGAAGATCTTCAGGTTTTGAGTGGTCTGGACTTATTATAAACATTTGATACAAACATATAGAAGAAAGAAATGTTTGTGAAGTTATCACACTCACTTCACTTAACGAGGCCGCTCTGTATTTACGTCACGATGTTCAATCAACAGAATATTCCATTCCAACTTTAGGAGAAACACAGAGACGAAGAGGCAAGAAAAACAATACTGCAATTGGTCAATTAGCAATTAACAATTGGTAAAACCCAAAGGGATTATTGTAAACAAGCTGTACTAACTACATTTCTAACTTTAATTGGAATTGGTCACTTTAATAAGTAATACACAAATGTAATGTTTTTCTAATTAACCTCTTCAAACCTCATTCTGATTTTAGGCCGGAGCCTGTTTTGTTTGTGCTCTCCTCTCGTCTGAACGCACGCTGTCGTTGGCGCAGTGAGCTGCTCCTTAAAAGTTTGTACTTCTGGTCTTAAGTTTCAACCTCTGAGCTCACGGCGTCCTCCTCCAGACTTTCTGTCTGTATCGAGCCGCCATCACTCCAGCAGGAGGTGTCACGGAGGGATCCGAGCAGTTTTTATCTACGATGGGAGGGCGTGATTCATAGAGGCAGAGGCAGCTCAAGGAAAACCAATCCTGTGACACTTTCTCCCCTGCGCTGTAGGGCAGCAGCTACAGAAGGACAAGGCAGCGGCGGCGGGTCGCCCCTGACAACCGTGATAAAATGGCCTTCCTTAACTAAACTCGTAAAGCACAGGGCAATAAAACTCAATCTTCTGTAAAATCCAATTAAGTCATTATCTGACTGATTGTATCTTTAATTGAAAACAGAAGTGACAGTAAATTTCTGTGATATATCAGGATCAATCGATACTGCTGTACAATCTGGTCTCAAGAGGTGATTTATAACGTCAAAGCCTTATAGGTAACTCCACATTCTTCTCTCTAAAACCACTGGTGGATGAAATTAAGAGTAAGTGCGTTTCATAAAAAAACAAGATGGTCACGTTATTGATTACAACAGATGGGGCAGAATCCAATGAATGTTCCCACGGCGCAGCAGAAAGAAAATACAAGTAATTTTCTTAGTCTGTTTTATATTGTTTGTTCCCAGCATCACATTTACACTCCATCACTTAGAGCGACTTTATTCCCCTAAAACTTGTAGCGACATAAACTCACAGAATCCAAATTACTTTTGTTGCTGTCTTATTCAAACACAAACACTTTCAAAGCCTGCAACTGGAAATGAATCTCCATAAAACACTACACAGCTTCACAGTGGCAGAAAAGTTGTTGAGTTGTTTTTTTTTTTTTTAAATAATATTCAAACACCACAACTCAAAAGTGGCCAACACTGGATTACTTTCACTTTCTGAGTTTAAGTGTTATTGCTGTTTACATTGAAAACAAGTCTGTGTCTCCCTTTACTGAAGCCGTTTTGTTTTTTACATATGAAGAAGCAGCAGCAGGAGAACGTCCAGGAAATATCGTGGTTTTTGTTTACGGCACATTGACACCGGCTTCGGCCTTTATCGTCGTCTTTCTGAGATATTTGTGTTCCTCCGGTTTCGTGTCTGTCACCTCGTCAACACGCCGGACAATATCCTGCTGCTCTCACAGGAAAAACTCCGGAGAATGTCCACTGACTCCCTCTGACAGCCCCGACTGATGCAAACCCCCAAAATATTTAAGATCCTTTTATTTAAGATAAGACAAATTAGCAGATTTGAGAAGCTGGAAAATAAAATAAAAAAATCTCTGCTTTAAAATAATAAAACTATAATTATCATGATTATCTAATAATCAAAATTGTAGCTGATCCATTCTCTGTATTGACTCATGAACGAATCATCGGTGTGTTGTATAAACCGTGTGATTCACTGAACTCTTGGACTGAAGGGGTTAAATATACAATAGACATGCAAATTCTCTGGGACAGATGAAGCGGCTGGATCAGCGTCATAAATAAGCAGCCGATGCTCATCACACGCCAACACAACGCAGGGAAACATGATTCATGTCTAACCCGCCTCTAACCTGCCGAAGTCGCGCTCGTCCTACAGGAGACCTGAGCGTCTCTGAAGGAGGATCTGTCCCAGAGCGTCTCTACTTTAATTCAGACACAGGAAAAGAGAAACTCTTTTAGCAACTTCACAATCAGCTCGATGAGAAGAATGACGAAAACTATTAATTATCAAAACAGTCAATTTATTTATTTGTCAATCAACAAATATATTAATCGACCGATTGTTGCGACTCATACAACATGTGTCCAATTTTAACTTTTAACTTACAAACTACTAAATCAGTGGAAACTTAGAACGACAGGAGGATTTCAGTCGACCGGTCCACTGGACCACAGCTGAAGAATTAGTCATACAAAGTTACTGCAATGTCACATTTCATTTCTGACATTTGAGTTTTTCCAGTTCAGCAAGAATTTGTCGGCAAACGCCAAGTTTGTCGTCTGATTGTCAAAAACATTTCACTAATATCTGACCAATGAAACAAATCATTCGCTGACTACAATGGAAACACTTCCTGACTCGTAACGTTTGGAAACTACAGTTAATGGAAACTACGAAGGATTTTAATATGACATCACTTTCTATATCGAATAATAAAAAAATCACTTAACTACTTGAAAACAAGTAAAAAATTGTCGGAACCAACGGCCTCATTCTGAAGCGCGAGCTGATATTTGTCAATAATTACAATTATCTTAACATCGCCCAAATGTTCGTGGGTGACGAAGTTAAAGCATTGGTCGATGGTAAGAGACTGAATTTACACCACTGAGCCACTTCTCGTTTTATCTGCAGTGAGAATAGAAACAATCGTCAGTCACTCCCGAGTCAAATGACTCAGCAGCAAACACGGGTTTCTATCGGCTCCGGCTCCGAGCGGCAGCGATGGAAACACGACAACGCGCTAATCCGGCGGGACGGCGAGGGTTAGAGAGCGCTTTGACGTTTTTGACACTGAACATGACGCAACAGGAAAAAAACCAAAAACAGAAACTCTGCTCGAGGTGATGGGAATCAATCGCACTTTTAAACAACCTGTGTATTCCCACTTCCTCAGACGCATTAGTCAGCCAGCAGAGTTTTGGTAGTCCCCTTATTTGCCGTTGCCCTTTCAAAATAAAATTGGTGGCACAGTTTCCTTTTTCCCCATCCAAAAAGTACCCCGCCATAAATGAAGTGTTGGCTACTGTTCGTTGTCAGTTCTGCCCTGACAGCGAGAAGAAACTTGTTTGTCACCTTGACGGAGGTGCACAGAACCCAGAGTATGAATGTCCGTCACCCGGAGGACGTGCACGTGTGAAATCAGCTGAACAGGACGTTAGACAGACTTGATCTCACCAGTTCTGTGTAACGTCCGGTTGAGCTGATGTACGAACAGGCTAAGGGGCAGAAACCGGCTCCGAGCAGACAGTAAATATAACGTGACGATGACGTGAGTGTTAATTGGTACATTGGAGCTCCACATTCATTTAAATCCTTAATTTCACATGTTTTAAACTCTCCAGCTGCTGAACTGGCTACAGGAAAAAAGTCAGTTAAAAACAAACAGCTGAACCATTAAACTGCTTTACAAGAACAATTAAGTCCAAAAATGCTTTCGTCGTATCCTTAGCTTCTTTAATTGATGCCATCCACGTCGATGGTGGTGTTGATGGAGAAGTCGGCCATCTCGTCGCTGACCTCGCACTCAGCCTTGATGTCGGAGTTCAGCAGGGAGCTGATGGACCTGCAGGTCATGGTGGGGTCATGAGCGGCGGTGACGTTGCTGGGTGAGAAGGCTGCGGAGACGAGAGGGGAAACCCTGTCACTGATCAGGTTGTGACAGTGATGAGAGCGGAAAGCGTGCTGATGATAAACTGGTGGACGCATTTCTACATTTTACACTCATCCAAAATTTAAGCGCAACAATTTTGTTTTCGTAGCCAAAAGGCTTGTTTCTCTCAAAGGTTGTTTATTCCAGAATATTTGAAATCTCTCTGCAGAGGGAAAACATATCTGACTGTTGTGGCGCAGTATTATTTTTGTTCAGTGTAGTTGTTGCAGTAAAGTGAATTATGTTATATGTAGTTCGGTGTTTGGGTAAAAAAAAAAAACAGAACAAGAAATAAATTGTTGTCCCACAGTCCTGACTTATGTTCATGCGTTTGAAAAAATAGATAAAGCTCAAATCTTTCACGGGCCTCGAGCTACAAATCTTTTTTCTGGATACTCCTCAAAGTCGTTAACATGATGAACTCATATTGGCTGATGTAGGTAGACAGTACAGCATCACACATAAAATAAAAATGTCTTCGTACAGTAAGAGCGAGTAAATAAAAAGCAGAAGAGAAATACTGTAGTGAGAGACAAAACAGCAGAGCGGTATCATCAGCACTGCAGAATAAATGGTCGTCTGTGTTCGTGCTGTATTCACCTGATATAAAAACGACCGCGCAGCGAAATGAGTCTTAGCAGAGCTCGGGATTTATAGCAAATTGAGTCAGTCAGCAAAAAGGGAACAGAGGGAACACTAAACAAAAGCATTAGATCTTTTACAGTTAACAGGAGAGGTATGTGCACACACACACACACACACTAACACTCGCTCTGCAGCCACTGTGAGGCTGTTTACAACAACCCTGTGTTAGTACAGTCGCTCATGTTACTAACATTTCACTCTCATTCATGTTCGTTCCTGATTCATCACCTCTTTCAAACCTTTCCACACCAGATGCTCACGTACTTCGAAGTACTTAATAGTTTTGATGTTGTGCTGTAATAATTGGTTGATTGATTCATTTGCTAACTCACAGTCATTTTGGCGATAATCAAAAACTATCACTTAAACATCTGTGTGTTGATAATAATCGTAAAGAATCATGTACATAACAAAAGCCGAAGTCCAGGATTTCCCAGAATCCTCGGACTTGATTGGCCTCGTCCAGGCTTCTCTCTCCCTCTCCTCCTCAGCAGTGGTGGGAGGAGAAAAGAGGAGTAATTTCTCTCCTCATTAACTTCCTGATTGGTTTCGGACTCCAATTTTTGCCCGTCTGCAGTTTGTCACCAATTCCAAACTGGCAGCCCAATCGTTAATACTAATGTTTGTGTAGCTAAGTGCAACCAGCTCTTTTTTTTTTTTTTATCCCTCCGATCTACTTGTACAGCAATAACACA